CCCCACCCCATGGGAGCGAGGTGATGTCAAAAGTAGCATGCTGTTCTGACCCGGTGGCCGTCAGCGGCGCGGCGGCCCGGGTCTGCGCCGCTGCCGCTGAGCTACCAGCGCGGCCGCTGCAGATGGATGGAGCATGCAGAAATTCCGCGTGCGAGTGTTGTAAGGACCACCCCGCGGGTGTCGTTGATGTTAATAGTCACACAATATTTGGTTTTCTCACGCCGACACCCGTGTTTTATGACAGGCATGCAGACAGTGGATCATCCTCGCGGGGTTGGGATGCATGCCGGGTGACACGCCTGCAGTGCGCAGGAAAAGGTTCAAGAACGCATCAAGTTTGTAGATTTGTTGGACTCGGCGGCGAACATCCCAATTTGGCTGGGGTGTCCCGGTCGCAGTCGCAGCATCACCTGGACCCGGACGGGTTGCAGGAAAGAGGAAGTGCTACTGAGCAGCTTCACGGCAGCAGCGCGCCACATGGCGGGCTGCATGGCGGCGCGCAGCTGGCGGCACGCGCTCGTGCTGCTGGCCTTGGCTGCAGTGATGGAGCAAGGCTTGCCCGGCGCGGGCGCCGCGACAGCACCAGGGGCCCAACCCAAGGGCACACAGCCCCTAACCGCGGCGGCCCCGGTCAAAGTGACAGCGCGGTTGAATGCCTCAGCCCCGGCCAAGCAGCTCGCCAACACGACAGCGCCCCGCCGTTCCAACACGACAGCGCCGTCGGCAGCGGCCACGGGCGCGGCGACGGCAGCCGCAGCAGCCGCAGCGGCCGCGGCAGCAGCGGCGCCGCCGCTCCGCCTCCCGCCGTCCGCGGCGCTGCCCCCCAACGCGACCATCCTGCCCCCGCGCCTGCCGCCCCCGGCGTCGCCCTCGCCCGCGCCCGGCAACGTCACGCAGCGGCAGCAGCAGCTGCCGGCCGCAAACGTCACCGCGGCGATCGACGCGCTGCTCGAGATCCCGCGCGCCGTGGCGGCGCAGGCCGTGCCCCGAAACAGCTCCCTGGCGACCACCATTGACGCCCTACTCGGCGTCCGCCGCCCGCCCCCGCCCCCGCCGCTGGCGACCAACGAGAGCATGGCCACGCAGCTGGCGGCCCTGCTGGCGGTCAAACGTTCGGTTGACCGCACCGGCGTGCTCGCGGGCTGGAGTAACGCGACGGGCGCGTACGGAGGCTACTGCAGCTGGACTGGCGTCGCCTGCGACGTGTCGCGCAATGTGATCGCCCTCAACACGAGCGCCTTCCAGTTCGGCGCAGAGGCCGGCGATAAGTACGGCGGCGCGAGCCTCTTGTCGCCGCTCGCTGATAAGCCGGCCGTGCTCACGGGCGCGCCGCCGCGGGCGGCGGACCTGGGGAAGCTTCCTCGGCTGAGGAGCCTCGCGCTCGTGAACAACCAGCTGGAGGGGCAGCTTCCTGCGGATTACGGGCAACTTCAGGGGCTGGAGGAGCTGCGGGTGTATGACTCGTACTTGTCGGGCCCGATCCCGCCGCAGTGGGGGCAGATGGGCGGGCTGAAGCTGCTTGAACTCAGGTGAGTGCAGAGGGGAAGGGGTGATGTTTGTGTTGTTTTAACAATTAGGTGAATTCGTGCTGCGTGCGTGTGCAGGTGTGTTTCAGCGTGTGGGCATGTGTGTGCCCGCTTTGAGCAGTGGGCCTTGCCCCATGGCCGCCTGCACACCCCTAGCACCATCCCATCAACCCGATCACCCACCCACTCAACCACCCCGCAGTGACATCAACAGCACTCTGCCCGCCGAGCTCGGCAACCTGACGAACCTCGAGCAGCTGCTGCTCAGCAATGAGCGGTTGGGCTACCTCTTGCAGACGCGCCACAGGGCCATCTACGGAAGTCTGCCCCGGCAGCTGGCCGGTCTAAAGTCACTCAAGCACTTAACGCTTGAGTGCGCACCTGAGACCGGGATGGGGGCGGCTGGGGCGGTCATTGCAGATGTGCAGGCGTGCACGTGCGTAATGCAGGCGTCTGCACACACACGCACGCACGCACACGCGCACACGCCTTCGCGCACGCACACGCACACGCACTCGCACACGCGCACACACACACACACACACACACGCACACACGCACACACACACAGTCAGACACACAACCCCATCCCCCCCTCCCACCCCATACAGCTACAACTACCTCACCGGAACTCTACCCCCAGAGTGGGCAAACCTCACGGTAATAG